TATTCATTGTTAAATTAAAACCATTTTATTTTTGTTTAATTAACTATATTAAATTAAATCTAATTTTTTAAAACCAAGAGCACTTGCTTGATGAAGACCGATGTAATAGAAAGAAAAATAATAATCATGATTTTCACATTAAATGTCGATCGATCATTCCGCAAGAGAGGGAATTGCTTAAATTGCTTAAAGCGCTAATAATTCGTTGGCTTCGAAGAATCGGCTAAACGACCTGTTAAACTGTACACAAGAAACGATGAGTAATAATCGCCTATGATTATCGACATCCGGTTTCTTGGCGAAACGATAGTTTCGAGTGCGAGCGGCAACGGTGAAATGGGACAATTTTGCGCGATTGCATTCCCCCTGTTGACTGTTTATTGCACATCGCGGAGTCACTGGACTGTACTATAATGGAAAGTTACATTAAGTCGTGCAATATATTGTGAAGACGGCGTGACGCGGCGGTGCACGTGCGATTCACAAAAGGCGGTGCTTGCGCGGAAAAGCTCAAGTCACCGCGACTGATCATCTTTCTCTGACTAAACGACGAGATTACAACAGGCCCCCGCGTTTCGCGTGTCTCTGTGTATTTTAAAGTGACGTGCAGCAAACGGCGAAACGAGGCGAAACGGGATATCCGATTTGCTGCCAAGTAAGTGGGTCGATATAACAATTTCCTAACAATAAAATTATTAGAAAATGAAATATATTCGTATTCGTCATTAGAGATGCTGAGAACTAATAATTGCGTTATTGCGAGAAAAACCGTAAAATTGTAAAGTTACAGTTGAGTTGTTGTACATGTATTTAGAACACATGTGGCTCGAAATTGCGAGAATTATTATTGTCTTATGTGTCTATTGTTATGTGTGTCATTGCACGTTACGTCGAAATAATCGAGTTTATCGCGTAACCTCCTTTCATTTCTAAGGTGAACGAAATGATTTTTCTTGCAATTGTGTGCATAGATAGATAAATAATTCTCGACTGACATTTCGCAATCAAACAGCAAAATTTCTCATTTACATTAATAATGTCACATGACATTTCGTCATCGACGTCGTCATCGACGTCATATTTTACATCTTGTTTACATGAGATGATGTAAAGATTACCTATCAGATTATTACAGATAATAATTGAGATTAGATTGGAATTTAACCAATCAAAAGAAAGAAAATTAATCTGCAATTTAGTAAACTTTGTTCAAATTGATTAAATTTCAATCCAATCTCTTTTGAAAGAATAACCTTTGATTCTTTCTTTAGTCACATTAATCTGTGCCTTCCTTTTTTCTCTATTAAAAACAATTAAAAACGAAATGAGAAGACTCTCTAGGGAATAAGTTCTAAAATTACGGAATCGATAAAATATACGATTATCTATATTTAATCATTTACAATAATGAAAGCAAATTTTGTTGAAAGACCATGACGCATCAATTCCATTTCGTCAGTCCAATAACTCAAGTAAAAATAGTTTGTGCCTTTGAAATGTTTCATTAACACACGCACAGACATTTTATATCCATTTTATTTATATCTTTTATTATAAAATCACGAGTATTTTTAGGCACATTTTTTTCAGGCACAAGGCGGAATTGAATATTTAATAAATCTCAAGGCTCTAGATTTAAAGCAAGCTCCGGAAAAATAAATTTGCTGAAGTGTTAACTAATCTTTTACAATTACACGTTCTCGAGAATTATGTTAGTTTTAATCAATTTAATCAAAGATTGGAAAGTAGAAAATTGGAAAAATTGGAAAAGCGGAAAAGTTAATTTTTTTGTAATAACAATATATCTTTTTTGTAAAATAGAAAGACATTTTTATACATTTTTTTCTTTTCTTTAACATCTCTTTGTTTGAAAATTATGCTCTTACGAGTCCTCAAAAAAAAAATTATTAAATTTGTGTCTTGACGATTCAATGTCTGTCGTCTACAATTAGAGGAATCAAAGATTAACAACAAATATTCAGCGCATAACAATGGCACAACACATACGAGATAGGCGAAAGGAAGTCTCCACATTCCTTTACCGATCACCTCCATTGTTTTCTAATCAGCAGGATTCCGTATATTTCTCGATGACTAACTTATCTCATAGTCACGAAGCGTAAATAACTATTAACTGAATCGTTTGGAAAATCAAAGTGTTGCATGCGCACGATAGCGATAATAATATCCGCTGGCTCGTCATTCGCTCATTACCGAAATTTTTTTTAGTGGCATGACGAGCGACTTATATAGCAATGCTATCTACGTAAGCAAGAGCTGCAATATTGAGTTTCAAACCGGTCACATTGCATGTTAAATCAAATTTTTCAAGCGGATTCTTTAACGACGAAAATGACGAAATCAATATATAGACGTCAATATATAAAATCAACCAACCAAAAATCAACCAAACAAAAAGTACGATAATTCTTACTTATTTTTCGACATCTTATAATTCAACATACGAAACAAAGAAAGTTGACAAAGGAATGAATCATCAAATCTTATACACGGCCACTTCGATTGGTGATCGAGGTCTATATCGAGAAGGCAATTCGGGACCTGTGGCTCGCCAGATATTGCCTGGACACTCGAAAACATAATTAATAATCATAAAGATTATCCTGATAGTATATATCCATTAATCATCAATTCATTAATCTTTTTATCTCGAAGGGATTTGAAATTAAGTTGTTTAAACATATTCCGAAAGCATTATCTCTTAACGGCTAGTTGCTAGTTGATCAAAAGAGTGCTAATGAAACGATGCTTTAATAAACTTTCGTTGAAAAGAATGAGCAAATATCTCATATAAATTTAAAAATACTTTCGAGACCGCAGTCGGCGCGCAGTCCAACCACCGCAGTCTCGCAAATCGTGAAGAAATAAATTCGCAGATACATATTCGATCATACACACACTCACACACACACATGCACAGAAAAAGAAAAAGAAAAAAACGTGCATTAATTGCGTGGTTGTTTACCAAGAGCAAACTTTGTTTCCGAATAAATATTTCATCCGATAATACAAGGCGCTAATCAATGAACCGTCAACGCAACGTTCGCAACCGCCGAGTTAATCGCGTATCGCATGACGAAATATCCGTCCGAATGACACCAAGCAGCTCGAAAGATTTAAAGTTCGCGAAATATTTAAAAATCTTTTATTAAAAAGTGCTGGGTAAAGGATACCGCGGATGTCGTCATCGTTCGCGAAGGAAAAAGCAGAACCAGTTTTGCGAATTGTTGTCTGATGATAATTTCGGCCGCGCTCCGAACGTGAGACGACGTCGTGCCAAGGCAGACTGTTGTCATATACACGTGGACTTTTATGTAAAGATTTTCCCCCTCGTCGAAGACAATAGAAATTCAATTTCCTTAACCTTTGTTTTTTTATTATCGCAGGTCAGTATCGTTTCTCAAATCGGATTAAAAACATTATCGCCGCGTATTATCAGCCGATCGTAAATTAAGCCACCGACCTTTTTACCATAATCGATAACTTTCGACCGATTGTCGTACGGAGACGGAACGGTTTGATGGAAAGAATAGCATGCATAATTTTTATTCATACTCGAAAAGCTGATGGAAAATTAAGCGGTGCGCCTTCAGTGATTATGAATAGAACAGAATTTATTATATTTTTTATTATATTTATAGAAGAGATTTGGTTTTTACAATGTTAACTTAATGCCACTTATTCAGCCATTTACCGGTTTACCGATTATATTTAACTAATATTTTCCTTCCTCAGCGTATCAACTTGGAAAATTAATAAATAAACAGCAAAGACGTTCCCCTCGTCTGCGTCGATCAACGACGTAACTGAGATCGAAAGTAAAAATGTCGCGAGATAAATTTCTCCCCGAGTGGATCTGGATACGAGCGGAAATATCTCGACTGAATGTGCCGCATTATTTCAAACGGTATATATCTTCGAACGTGCGCATTTTTGTTAATCGTATTTGCAAATATTTCGCGATAACGATGGGATTTCTCGATGGTGTCCGCGCTTTCGAAACGCGGCGGCCGCGACGATAAAGCGCGCGGACTTTCCGGATCTTGCGCCCTCCCTCTTTCTCCCTCCCTCCCTCCCTCCCTTTCTCTCTTTGTCTCTGTAAAACAGCCATCGCGTTGCGACAAGCCACGCGGCGCGTAGAATTTACGGGACGTAAATCGATCGCCATAATCCTCCTCCTCTTCGTGCTTTATCGCGCCTGCTCCGCGCTCATCATCTCGCCATCTGATGATGAGCCGCGCAGCGCCCACATAAGCGGAATAG